ATTATTTCTGCTGGGATTTTATTTTTACAAATTATAATTTTTATTATTTTCCCTTACGAAGCAACAAGCTAGTAGGATAAATTTTAAATATCGCTTTAATATTTAGATAAATTTTCGTTTTCCATTTTTCCGTGTGTAAATATTTTTTTTTAATATACTCTCGGCTAAGTAAATTAACGCGTACCGAGGTCATTTTGTTCCTATAATTGCCAAATACCATTTTTTTTTTTAATTTTACAGTTCCGCGATGATGGTACTTTCAATGTTACCGGCTCCTCGCCTATTGTTTGTTATGACGGGGCTGGCTTCGGATTGCAACTTTTTACAATTTTTTTTTGATTTAACCACGCTGCTGTACACACCATGTAATTTCCTATTGCATCTAGTTAACACTGTCCAAAGCTTGCTACTTATTTCAGAAACACCCTTTATCTTACAGTAGTTAATTTATTAGGTGTGTACCCACAAAGGAAAATTTTAAAAAACTCTTGGCTAATCATAAGCTCTTAACGAATTATCATTATAAAAATTAAATTAAAAGTTTTAATATTTGACTCTTTCTTCATGCAGGACATGGGGGTCAAATGCTTCAATTTTACTGTGGAACATTTGTAGTTCTTCAAAAATCGATTCAATAAAAATTTTATAATAAGGAGTTACATAATACTTAAAATTATTTCATACCTCCCCAGGACTTCCACCGTGATGTTGTCTTGTTAAACTTATTATTGCATTTTTAAAAAGGTTACTTTTACTTGCAATCATTTTGATTAACTAAAATCCCTGTCGACTTGTTCACTAATTGAAATCAGGATCACAACTTTTAATCGATTGTGCTGGCAAATTTTAATTGCTCTGAGTGCAAGCTAATTATAATTGTACTAATCGAAAGCAAATGTCGTAGAGCAGTTTTGCTATTTTAAGTTGCAGCTTCAATTTATTATTGTGTTCGAATTTATTATGAAATGAATTTTTTGAATTGAATGCCTTCAGAAATATTCATTGAAAAAAGGTAGTACAACTTTTGGAGATTGGTCACAATTTGATACCATTAAGATATAATTGTTAGAAACGTACTTAAATTGAGTATAATGGCATTACAAAACACGTCGACGTCATTTTAATTTATTTCGATGGGACAAAAATGGACAACGTGTAAGAGAGCGAAACACGTATCCGCGTTGTTTTTTTTTTTAACTGTTGTGGTTAGTTAGTGTAAGACCTTTTTTTTATCAGTGCGCCACAGTCTCCTTTATATTTATTTTTACGTACATTAATGTTGTTAAGCCTACTTTTAATAACAATCTTAGATCAAGATGTCAATCAATCAAGTACAAATTAAGAAAATCGATTTCTACATACGCAAAGCTACCGCTGCTGGAAGAAAAATACAGTTTTGATTGGGATCCGTCAAATGGGCATACACCATCTGGTGGCAAAATTTATAACTCGAATGAGGGAGAAATTTACATAGGAACTGTGCACGCAAATTGTAAAATTGTTTATTAAAATAATAAAACACGTTAAAAAAGTAAACATTTTTTTGATGATGGAGTCGACGAAGTTTTCTTCACCTACATTAACTACTTTCCAATAAAAACTAACCGTTTTATATATGTAAAAAATATATTCGGAAAATTAGAGAAAAAAGTAAACTAATAGAAGCTTGGATGAAAGCAGTAGGTGTCAATAGTACCAAGAAGTGAATTCCGGAATAAAAATTTGTTCACGTCATTTTAATGCACATGGTTATATTTCAGCAAGTATTTACCATCAGCCATAACCTTAATATTTAAAACTAGAGTCATACTAAAATTATAAAGTGAGAATTTATTTAGGAACTACGATAAATTTTGCCTAATCGGCGCCATGTTTTTAGGCTCCTCCCATTTGACGGATCCCAATTGCAATTCTAAAGTTTTGCATTCAGTCTTACACTTTCATGTTTATTTAAAAAAATTTAATTTATAATACCCAAAATATCCTACGTTAAAGACCAGTTAGAATAAACTGTTGTTTCTTATTAACAGGTAAGAAACGATTCAAAAACGAACTTCGTCAGTATCAGAAGATTCCGATTTACGTAGTCGAATATCACCACGAAGTGTTACCGTTTATTTACAGAAATATCGGTTCGAAATATTTACCCCTTGAAGGCACTCCCCTCGTGCACTTCGACTCTCACCCCGACATGCTCATAGATCCGAAATTGACAATTGAAACGGTTTACGATAAAGAATCTTTGTACGAAAAAATCAGCATTGAAAGTTGGATTTTACCCGGAACTTTTACGGGTCAGTTTGGTGGTGTTATTTGGGTGAAACCTTTCTGGGCTCACCAGATGGACGACGGCAAGCGAATCGTCAATATCGGTGAAGATAAATCCAATGGATGCATAAGATTGGATTGCAAAGAAGACTATTTTGTATCGGAATGCATTTTTACAGAAAAAGAAAATTTGAAGAATGAACGGCAATTTAATTTGAATGTAATCACAATGAATAAAGACCAAGTGGATTGGAATGGTATCGAATGTATTTTGAATGACTCTTTAAAGGATAAACGTTTTATATTGGATGTAGACCTCGACTTTTTTAGTACCCACAATCCTTTCAAAAATATTTACGACAAAGTCAATCTTTACGCGCTTCTTAAAAAATTGTATTATTGTGATTCCATTAAAACTACCACTGATGATGTTGCTACTTTGGTTAGTAAAAGAATTAAACAAATGACCCAGTTGGAAAGTATTTTTAATTATTTGGACGCAAACAGGAAGCTGCCTTCTCCGGAAGGGTATGATCAGGATATTTATAATTCCGTTGATGATGTTAGGAAAATACTGTTAGAAAAATACGAAGAAAAGGATGTGGATTGGGAATTGGTTCATCTGGCAGGTTGTACTTGTGATAATTCTGAACTGCCTCATTACGTCTGTAGTTCTGAAGAATTCGAAATTATGTATACAAAGTTTAAAAAATTCCTCGATATCTTACCAAGTTCTCCAACTATTGTAACTATATCTCGATCTACAGAAGACGATTATACTCCTGATGAATACGTAGAAGAAATTCAGAGCAAAGTAATTGAGATACTTAAGAATAGATTTTGTTGTGATGATCCTATTTTAAGTTATTTAGATGTTGACACCGAATAATATTATAAAATGTAATTTATCTTATTATAAATGTATTCACTCAATACAGTGTTTTATTTAACTTTTTATTTAGTGGTAAATATAAAGTTAGGTTTTCGAGATAAAGCGTTTTATATCTGCTGAGTTTTAGAATCTTTATCATTCTTAATATGCGTGCAAATGCGTAAGAAACCTTTATTTTTGAATAGGTGCATTAATAGTTTCAAAAAATCAGTTTTCAGTTATATTACTGTTATATACAGATTTGACCATAAAAGAAATGTCTTCATTATAAAATAATAGATACAGGATTACTAAAATTGTAGGTTTTGAAAACTTTGAATCAATCCAAATTTTAAAATATGACTTCCTCGTTATTTTAAATTGAGTTTTGTATTCTTTATGTAAAATTTTAAAATTAAGTAGCTATGTTTATCTAAGGGTAAGTAATAATAGTAGTAGTAGTAATAAATAGAAGAATGCGGTTGCTATTTTAGTTTTACGGGTAACAAGAAAAAATGAAAAAGAGCGCGTACATAGGATTCCTAGATTTATTAGGAATGTTAAATGGGATAAGATATTAAGTATACTTAAAAATGTAGGGATAGGATACAGAGATAGAAGAGTGATATATGGTTTGTATTACGAACAAAAGGCAGCAACTACATGTATATCAAAGGTACGATAAACATTAAAGACAGGACAACATTAGAGATAGAAATACAGAGATTTGCAAATCATACAGCAGTGTTGGCATCTAGCAAGGAGGATTAGTTAGAGACAGCCTTAAATAAAATGGAAACATTATGCACAAAACAGTAAGGTATGAAAATAAATAAAGTAAAACAAAAGTATTTATGTGGAAGGAAAGAAAAAGTAGGGAATGACTGATTATAAAGATAGTAGGCGAAGTCGCTAATTTTCGGTATCTAGGAAGTCAGATAAGTAAATAAATAAATAAAAGTAAAACAAAAATACTGGTATGCAAGGGAAGAAAAAATTGGGAGAGAGCGAATATAGAGATAGGAGACGAAAAATTAAAAGAAGTGGCCAATTTTAGATATGTAGGAAGGCAGATAAGTCAGGACGGAAGGAGTAGTAAGGATATAAAGAAGAGGATAGCGCAGGGCCGAATCGTCTTTAATTTAAAAATTCAGTAAAGATTGTAAAAGATGTCTGGAACACGGCTATGTTCGGGTGCGAAACATTGACGTGGGTGCGGTGGAAAAGAAAGGGTTAAAAGCGTTGGAAGTGTGGTGTTATGGGCGGATGATGAGAATACCGTAGATAGAAAAGGTTAAAGATGAGGAGATATTAGACTGAGTAGGAGAACAGAGGACGCTGTGGATGTCAATAAGAAACAGTCGAGATAGGTTGGTAAGACACCTTCTCAGGCATCAAGGTCTAGTCAGAGACATATTAGAGGAAGAAAGTGGAATTAAGAGGGGTAGAGGTAGTCCTACATTGGATTACTGTTCGGAAATGGTTAAGTATGTGGTGTGTTTTAGTTTTAGGCAAATGCGAAGATTAGCTTAACCAGTCTTAGGACTGATGACTACGATTATGATGATGGCGATGATGTAGAAACTTTCACTTTTCTAAAGAAAAAATAATTGCTAATAAGTGTTTAGGTTAGGCTGTAATAATTTCCATAATTTATTATTTCACTTTTCTAAAAATGACGGTAATAGGAAATAAATAATTGGTAAAATCCGTAAAATTTTTGTATTTTTTTTTCTAACTTTTGAGCTTTGTTATAGATAAATAATTTGTTTTGTGTTGTATTTTGTCGACCTTACACAGAGATACACGTATAGATAATAAACGAAATTACAAAAGACTTATTTTAGTTCAACAAATATTCTATTTTTGACAGGTAAAGGTTGGCATGTTATAAATGGCAGTCATTAACAAATGCGCCAAAACACATTTTTTAAATGATAATCTTCAATTTTGTTCCGCTCTGTTTGTTACAAAATAGAGCAAGAAACCATTTGTTACCCTAGGGACTATTTTTTTTATTGTGGTAACCGATATTACGTATACGTATATGTATTTCAAAGCGTGCATATTTATTTGGGCCGCTTTAAAATTAAATAAAAGCGTTCTACTTAATTCAAAATAACTTTAATGTATTAAAAAGTAGAACTGGGTTTTTTAAGTTTCATTTGATGTTAATGTATGATGTGTTTTCTCACAACTCACTGCTATATGGTTCAAATACCCTACTTTTTTTAGATCTTATTTTTCAAAAAAACCGGAAACATTAACACAAATAAATATAAGCAATCTGTGATTATTAATGATAGTACTTTTTGTAATAATGATTTATAAAATGAAATCGGTGTGGAATCAAAGCTAAATTAAAGGCTATTTGTTAAAAAAAAACATTTCGCCTAAGTTGTCAGACTTTTTCAGGGTTAGTTTTAGATGCAAAGCGGATGGACTTGCTGATTTGTAAAGGAACATGTTCAATGACCAACTAAAGAAATTATTTTTTTATTTATAATGTTCTTCGACGTTTCTGTAATAATTGTGACTTTGTCAGTTAATATACGTATTTTATTTTTATAGTTGTCTTGAGCATGTACCATTTAAATTATCGAATTAGTCTTTGAAAAAACCCTACAACTTGGGCGAAACGTTAGCTGTCCTTTTTGAATAAATAAAAACATTTGTAAAGCTTTTGTTTTACATGAGAGATAACAAATGAAAATCGTTTTTACTTTAGATTTTCTTATGCTGTGTGTGTATTGATCATTATTACAACCACAATAAGATTGCTTTTTTTTGTAGTCACACAAAGCCAACAAAAATCTTTCAGAGCATTTTAACATAATATTAAAATGTGTTAAAAATAGAAGATTTACAGTGACGTTGGGTGGTTTGCAAAATACACATAGAAACATAAAACATATGTTTAATTATCATCTATTTCTGCTACAAAACATATTCCAAAAACGAATAACAAAACGCAAAACCCTTTTTTTAAAACGAAAAATTGTACTAAATTAGGTACCGACCTAACTGTTAAAATTGTTATTATTATTTGCACAACTTATTCAAGGAGAGCATGTTTTTGTTATTTTGCATATTATCATCTTTTTAAACATAACGTTTTTCTATNAAAATTATGACAAACAGGTGCATCTAAAAACCTTCAAAGTTAAAAAATGCGGAAAAGGTACATAGGTGTTGTAATAGGAGTTACTATACATATGTATAATAAGTAAATAAGTTTTGTGCAGGAATAGGTTTATAATTATAATTTGATCGTCTGGGATAACACAAGATAATCGGATATTTTGGATTTAGCTTTATAAGTATATGTATTTATTAAAACCGCATTTCGGAGTAACAATTTATTAATATCATATAAATATGCGTAATAACGTTCTGCTTAGGGCCAATTTAATTCAATTATTAGACGTTTATTTCGTGAACTAGTTGAAAGATAATTAATTATCATAGATTTCAGTCAGTTTAACGAGCCATGTCAACTTGAAAATGTTTTCTAATTGGACCAATCATTATATGTATTATAAATAGTTGACAAGTTAATACATGTGCACTTCCAATTTTTAATATGACTTAAAAACACAGTCGAAAGCATATTTAATTCCTTGATTTACTCTCATTTACCAGTCTTGTTGGGCATTACAAACTGCATTTGATTAAATTTTAAAAATGTTTGATCAGAGAGATCGTTTAAAATAGAACCAACAAACACAGAATGTAATTCATTAAAAAAAAAAAAAAAATTGATCTCACTACGACAACTCAAAATGTAACGTAATTAATTTCTTCTTATGTTTACGTTAGTTTCTATTCTGCAAGTTTCTTTATAGTGATGAATTTTCCACTGTATTACGTTTATGATTAACAAGTTGGTTTGGTCTACCGGCTTTCTTATGATTTTTTAATAAATGTGAAAAACGGAAAAGAATTAAAACAATTCTTGCTTATAAAGGAATTTGGGCTATAATTTTGAGAAGCGACGATTGTAGGACTCAGATGATAGCCAAAAGGATTTTTAGTGACTCCAATTGTATGGGATCGAAAAGTAAATTTTTTAGTTGCTTTCTGGTTTGGTTGTGCGCCTGCTAAACTTTGGCTTATGGTTAGGAAGGCTGCCTTGTATGATATTCGGACTTTTTGACCTTGACCTATGAGTGTGTCTCCTTCGGCAAAACTACTGATACCTTCAGCCTCCCTTTAGGAATTGAGGGAATGAGTGCGGGGGTGGCTGAGATGAGAAAGATAAGACGGACGAAATGAAGATTATTATTATTATCTGTGAAATATTACCACCCAGTATTTTTCTAGATGTTCCAAGCAAATCTTTAGGTGAAAACATAAGTATTTTATCTACCAAAAAAACTACCAAATTAAAAGCATTTTCGATTTGGTAGCAGTCCGGCCCTGATTCGATCACCTGTATTCTATTTATTCCACGTGTGAAGGGCCATCCAACAAATTAAAAACATATTTCATTAGAATCCGAAATAAAACGTCCAAAGTCGTCAAGGTGGAGTTCGAAAATTTGCAGGTTTTCTATTTTTAGCGGCAGTGTATAGAAAGATTGCCAAAGCTCGTTTTCTTTCACAGGTTAGTCATACACGCGTCTTCCGCAAATCGTTTGTTAATTTTTCTCTGTACAAGCGCAACGACTTAATCAATTTTTTGTTTTCCTCTCACTCTATGGTCTAATCCGTTTTGTTTATTTTCCATATCGCATAACTAGCGCAAGTAGGTGGTATAAATTTCATCCTAACTTGTTCAGAGCCGTCTTTTAAGAAAGACGTCCTGCGGTTTTCATTAACTAGGATAGGTCGACTTCGATGTTGGTCAGTGTGACAGTGGTTGTGATACGGTCACCACGTTTATAAAGCGGAAATATCGAACATGAGTTTAAGCCGGTTGCGCGTGCGCACTCCTTCGCCGAAAACGGTCACGTTCAGTGACGACGCTCCGCCCACAACTCTTAAACAGGTCAAAATTATACTGAACTTCAAAAATCAGGCGGAATGGGAAAGATACATAGGTATGTTTGTAGGTGGATAGTGTTTTTTGATCTTGTAAACACAATATTACGTAATGTTCCTATGCCAAGTTCAAAATAAATTATGTATTTCTGGAATCCTGGGTGATCTCTATTCTTTGTTTTTGTTGGAAACACTTGAGCTAGGAATATTTTACATTAATTTCAAGGTTATGAGAAGTATTGAGCAATTTATACACATGAATCCTACACATTCCATTTACAATAATTAAATTACATTTATAGACATTCCATTGAAAAACTACTGCATTTTACATGTATATTGACATACATTGTTATGTTAGTTTCATCATAGTTTACTGAATAATCAACATTTAGCTGTAATCGAAAATTGATGACTTATTTCCCGAAATTAAAACTAAATTGATTTGACCAATTTTGGATGCGATGTCAAGGGCGTGTTCTATTTAAGAAACAGTTCCAATTGTCATCAAAATGCTTTAAATCTTTTTTTTTTAGAAAGGATATCTTTATTGCCAAACGCTTTCTATCTAAAATATTACAAATACTTTCTGAATACCAAAATGAGATGTTATAAAAGAAATCAGGACTAAGTGTCCTTCAAATGGTAGCTACTACAAACTTATGAAAAATAGAAATAGCCATAACGATAACTTACAAAATAAATTAATATAAATAGAAAGAGCATTTTAATAGTTTTTTTGTCTTAATTATTTTGAGTCGCAATTTGATATCATCATGTTAGGGAAAAGTTGGTGAAAAAATAATTCAAAATATTCTGCGACATATTGCCTCCTATAAAAAACACTGCTGTTGTGACCTAATCTAATAAGACTAAGCTCATTATAACGAAACTTAAGTTAGTATAGGAAAACAACCGAATAGCAACAATTACACAGTACCTATACTAAGATGTATTCTGATAATTAGTTATCTCTTATTTGAAACTAAAATATCGAATGTAGCTGTAAAATATTCGTCGCCAAACTTTAATAATTGTATTTGGCAGCTTTTAGGAAAATGTCAACATAAATTAGACTATTGTTGCTATAAAACGTGCAATTTGAAACTAAACAAATGTTCGTAATAAAACACTGTAATGAAATGAATTGTAGCCTAAGAGGGTTGTTTATTTGAATGAAAATTAGTCGTCGGTCAGAGACATTATTATTATGAGAGTTTACTGTAACAGTATTGGGATCCGTCGAATGGGCATACACCATCTGGTGGCAAAATTTATAACTCGAATGAGGGAAAAATTTACATAGGAACTGTGTACGCAAATTGCAAAATTGTTTATTGAAATAATAAAACACGTTAAAAAAGTTTTTTTTTATGATGGAGTCGACGAAGTTTTCTTCTAAAGTTAAATCAAATAAAAAGTTAATATGTTCAGTGAAAAGCTGCAATAGCACTTCAGACATAGATCTTCTCTCTTCACCTACATTAACTACTTTCCAATAAAAAATTACCGTTTTATATATGTAAAAAATATATTCGGAAAATTAGAGAAAAAAGTAAACTAATAGAAGCTTGGATGAAAGCAGTAGGTATCAAAGAAGTGAATTCCGGAATAAAAATTTGTTCACGTCATTTTAATGCACATGATTATATTTCAGCAAGTATTTACCATCAGCCATAACCTTAATATTTAAAACTAGAATCATACTAAAATTATAAAGTGAGAAATTATTTATTCCTGTGTAATTGATTTAACACAATTCTAATGATACGATATAAGTATTTTGAGGTTAAGAACCTACCTGCTGCAATACAACAAAGTTGCAATAATGTGTTTGCAACGTTCTCTTAAATCGGCTTTGCACGTGCAAGTCATTGATATGATATTGCTTAAATCACCCAGAATCCACCTCACCAATTATATAACGTAAATCACTTTTTAAATCCGAAGTTTGTAAAAAGTGGGCAGTAAACTTGACGGATTTTGTTATTTCCGAATTTTATAATGTGATTGGCATTAATAACACGCTCACCTTCAACGAAATTTCCTTTCCGAGGCTTTGTGTCCCTTT